GAATACGTGAAGAACTTCGACAAGGCCGTGGAGCTCATCACTGCCTGGTCAGAGAAATCCCCGCCCTTCCAGGAGCTCATTGCTGACATCCAGGTGAGGGCAGGGTGAGGGACCACAGCAGTGCTCCCCAAAATCTCCTTGCACGGGGGGAGCAGCAGAGGGTGGGAGCTACCTTGGTCACTGTTCCTCTCTCCATGCCTGGTGTCTCTCCCCAGAAGAGGAAGGTCTGTGCTAATCTAACGCTGCAGCACCACATGCTGGAGCCTGTGCAGAGGATCCCACGCTACGAACTCCTCCTGAAAGATTATGTCCGGAAACTGCCGCCTGAGTCCCCCGACCGGGGCGATGCCGAGAGTAAGAGCTCTGTCTGGCTCACCCTGGGGAGTGGCAGGGTGGGTTTGTAGGGGAAATAACAATCCCTAGTGTTGTACACAGGCATTAGAAAACCTGGATTCACTCACCAGCTGCCCCGAGCCCTTGGATAAACCTCTCAGTCTAATCCTTTTCTGGCAGGGAGAGGGATTAATCTGCCCTTCCAGGGGCTGTGGAGGTCAGTGAGGAAGGGTGATGTTTCAGGATAAAGGTGGTCCCTCCAGAGCATCCCCTAGGGAGACCTGTAGAGCTGTCAGACCCTTGTAGATAACACAGTTCCCAGTCCTGCTGGGACGGAGGGATAGGGGACTGTCTGTCTGTCCTCCCAGGACCCCACCACGCACAGTCTGGCCATACCTGGACTCTTGTGCAGCATTTTGGGGCCGTTTGGGTTGGGTCCAGGGGAAGGCAGCAGCCACCACACATGTACATCCACGAGGGACAGACCCAGGAGCTTCCTCCCACAGCTCCAGAGCAGGTGTTTAACCTCCAGCCTGTCTCTTCTCTTTGCAGAGGCCCTGGAGATGATCTTTATGGTGGCCAAGCACTCCAATGCAGCTATCGCCGAGATGGTGAGCGCCTGTCCCAGCTGGAAGTGCTTTGCAGGTCCTGAATGGGACAGGAGCACTGTGGGTTCAGCACAGGAGCTGAGACCCTGCTCTTGGTGCCTGACCCCATCACCCTGAGCCTGGGGAGTCATGTCTGTAACATCAGTGATGTGACCAGCTGCTCAAGGCTGGGATTTGCTCCCAAAGATGAATCTGGGCTGAGAGAGCAAGTGCCACCTCTCTCAGTTATCAGCAGCTGGCTTGGGAGGTGGGGATGGGGGGAATCCAGGGGTGGCAAGGTTGTGGCTGCTCATCACCCCACAAAACCAGGTCCCTCTGCCTCCCCCAGGAACGGCTGCAGAACCTCTGGGTGGTCTATCAGCGGCTGGGCCTCGAGGATGACATTGTGGATCCCTCCAACCAGCTGATCAAGGAGGGACCCATCCAAAAAGTCTCCACCCGCAACAACAGCACGTCGGAGAAGTACCTGTTCCTGGTGGGAGCTGGGATGCCCAGGGGAAGGGGAGGGAGCAGATAAGATGGGAATGGGGGCAGAGGCGGCACAGCCTGGCCTGGGTGCTGCTGGGTCATCTCGGCACAGAAGGGATGAATTCAGAGGTGGGGGATTTGACCCTGCTCAATGCAGGGCATCCTGTGTAGGATGTGGTTGGGAATCTGCTGATCCCATGGGCAAGGCAGCCCTGGGAGGTGCCTCTCTCACCTTTGTAGGGTGGGAGAGGGCTGGGGCAGAAACAGTCACGTTTTAGGTGGATTCTTCCCAAGGACCAGCTCAGGCTTGGGGGATCTGATCCCCCAGATCCCAGGGAAGCCCCCAGCTGGGAGCAGGCAGGTGCTGGGCTCCAACCCATCCCTCTCTCAACTCCCAGTTCAACAACATGCTGCTGTACTGCGTGCCCAAGGTCATCCAGGTGGGCGCCGAGTTCCAGGTCCGCCTCCGCATGGACGTGGACGGCATGAAGGTCAGACAGGCACCTTGTCTTTGTGCTTCCCCCAGACCCTGACTCCTCCAAGAGCCCCCCAATTTGGGGTGTAACGTGGCTGCTGCCCCTCACTTCCTCGGGAAGGAGGGAGGAGCTGGAGCCAGGGGTGGCTCTGTGGGTGAGGTTGGTACGCTCTGATCCTGCGAAATGCCAGTGAAATCCTGTGCATGTGGGATCTGAGGGGCTTGTGCCTGAGGGACATCCCTGTGCCTCACATCATGGAGGAAGGTCTCTGTGTGCTGGAGGTGGCTTCAGCTCCACATCCCTTCTCCGGTGTCTGGCAGGTGTGGGAGCTGAAGGACACAGAGTTCCCTCACACCTTCCTGGTGTCGGGAAAGCAGCGGACGCTGCAGCTGCAGGCCAGGTAAGGGGAAGGGGGACCTCACCCAGACCCTCAGGGAGCAGGGACAACAGCTTATCCATCTCCCTTTTGTATCCAGGTCTGGGGAGGAGATGGACACCTGGATCAAGGTACCACCGAGTGCTGGGAGTGGTGGCACATCTGCCTCATCCCAGCAGGATGCTCTGTGTCAGGGCAGCCCCCAGCTGCCCCTCCAGCCCTGCCTTTCCCTCTAGGCCTTCCAAGATGCCATTGACAGGAAGGAGAAGAGAAGTGAGACCTTTAAGACAGCAGTACCTGGACTGGAGACAGACACCCCTGCACTGAAGGTACCCTCCTGCTCTCCCCATGCCCCCTGCACAGAGCCCACCTTGCTGTACCTCAGTTCTCCTCGCTAAACCGAGCTGGGGGGAGGCTGCGGACAGGGAGAAGGGCTGAGGAGGGGAAGGGGTGAGAGCAGAGGGCTGGGACCACCCAGAGCACGGCTGGCCAGCCCCACTGATGCAGCCCCCCACCCTCAGACAGAGGAGCTGGGCCGCCGAGCTCCGCAGTGGGTGCGGGACAACCTGGTGACGATGTGCATGCGCTGCAGGGAGCCCTTCAACGCCATCACCCGCCGGAGACACCACTGCCGAGCCTGTGGATACGTGAGTCACCCCTCCCCTCCTTCCCCTCCCTCCTGGCCTGCTCAGGTGGCTGCTGGGGCAGGACCACACCTCTCCTACACCGTATATCCCTTCCCCCCCCAGGCTCAGGGCTGCTCCCGCCCCTCAGCTCCTCACGGAGCTGTCCCTGGATGCCCCAGTCTCAGCAGTGTCCCTGTCTGTGGCTGCAGGTGGTGTGTGCTCGCTGCTCTGACTACAAGGCTGAGCTGCAGTACGACGGGAACCGCCTGAACCGCGTCTGCCAGGAGTGTTACATCTTCCTGACGGGCCACGCGGTGCCCGAGGACCGGGAGGGGAAGCACAAAGGCATCCTGGAGGTGAGCTCTGCCCCTCTCTGTCCCTCTGAGCTCTGCCACCCACCCTGGTCCCCAGCGTCGCTGTCCCAGCCTGGCCCTGCACCTGCAGCAGGAGGGGTGCGAGTCACTCCCACAGCAGTCAGAGGGAGCATGTGCTGAGCTCCCTCCTGCTCCAAGCCCAGGGACCCCCCAGCAGCCAGGGCTCCCTTCACCACGGGATCTCAGCAGCACCCTCACAGCCAGGACAGCCCCTTGCCTGCCCCTGCTTTTGGGGGTTTAGTGGAGTGGGTGGGGAATTCCCCAGGAAAGGGCCTTGGCTTGGTGCCCTTTCTGCCTCCTGCACTGAGTATTGAGAGATTTGTTGGGGTTTTTTTGGCAGAAAGGAGCTGCAGAGGTATCAAGCAGGAGTTTGCTCTGCAGTTCCCTGCAGCTGCTGGACAAGAACGGCAAGGGGGGGACGCGGGGCTGGTTTGTGATCCCGCAGGACGATCCCCTCGTGCTGTACATCTACGCAGCCCCCCAGGTAAGGCCGGGCTCGGATCCATCCTCAAGGGACATCCCGCTGTGCCCACCCCCTGCCTCCCACCACTGTCTGTTCTTGGCAGGACGTGCGAGCCCACACCTCCATCCCCCTCCTGGGCTACCAGGTGAAGGACCTGCCCCAGAGCGACTCCCGCCACCTCTTCCAGCTGGCGCAGTCCGGGCAGGTTCACACCTTCCTGGCCGACACCGAGGAGCTGAAGCGGCGCTGGATGAGGGCCATGGCACGCTCTGCCGCAGGGATCACACACCCAGAGGATGAGGAGGAGGATGCAGACCCCTGTGACAAAGCAGAATGAGGCCATTCCCACCCCTGGGCCCCCTGGGGAGTCACCTCCCCGGCCTGTCCTCGCCGCTGGCTTCATGCAGACCCCGCACATCTCTGCCTTTGGGTTTCCATCATGAAAAGGAGAAGCCGTACATTTGCCACCACACGGACAAGCCGGATTCCCCTTCCCCTCCCTCCTTGCTCTCCGCGCTGGACGGAATGAGGCGGAGGGATGGGGGGGTTTGGGGAGGCCTCGCCCCTGCAGCCCCGCTGTGCAGTACCGCCGGTGGCCACGCGAGGGCAGCCCCGCCCCGTCCTTGCTCCATCCCGGCGCGGGGGATGCCCGGAGCGGTGAAATCTGTGGAATTGGGATTGCTGGGATAAATCCCGCCTGCGACCCGTCTCTGCAGTCCGCGCAGCCTTCTTTGGCGGTGTATTTTCCATGGGATTGTCGCCATGCCTCCACATCGCCGTATCTGTCACCAGCCCTGGTCCGATGCCCTGCAGGGACCCAGCTTGTGGCTCACCCACACACCTCAGGGACCCCACTGCTGGGTTTAGGATGTCCCCTCCCAGCTTGTCACCACTCCTGGCCTCACAATGCTGCAGTCCCATGGTGTGGGTGTTCCTCTTTACCACAGACACCCCTCACCTACATCACTGAGCCACTCCACACTCCTGCCCATCCCAGACTTTCCCTTCAGCCCCTCCTGTCCACAAGCACTTTCCACCCTTGCACCTCCCTCAGTTACTTGTTTCCTGGGGCAAAACACTCTGGGACAAGGTTGTGTCCACACAGGTGCTGCTGTGATGCTGAGGAGACACAGGGGATCCCCCTCTCTGTCGTCATCATAACGAGCACCCCTGGTTGTTTCACGCAGCACTTTAGGCTGCAGCCCCACATTTTTCTCTCTGCATCATCTTTAGCTCCCCAAGAATGTTGCCTGGGCAGAAATTGCCACTTCTGAGCTTGCCGGGGGCTGAAATGGGACGCAGGAACCCATGGAGCTGGAGGAGCCCACAATCCCTGGCCGGCAGGGAGGGCTGTCCTTTGCAGGAAGGGGTTGCTGCCTGAGCCTGGACCACACAACAGCTCCAGCACAGCAGCCTTGGGCAGAGCCCAGGGGTGCCACAGGCTGAACAGATCCATGGAGACAGGGAAGGGAAGGGAGCTGGAGCAGGATACTGCAAATAGGGACATCTCTTGGGGAAAGCGTGTGGAATAAAGGTGGATGGGGGGCCTCAGAGAGACAGGAAAAAGCCATAAGCATCCTTCCTCCATCTACCCAGCTCAGCTTATCCTGGGAAAGGGCAAACCATGGTGGTTTTATCTCCTCCAGCTAAAGAGATCCCATCAAGGAAGAGGAGCTGGATGTCAGGGCAAAAACTCTGCCAAAGCAGTTGCCCCTCAGGGTGCCACCCAGTGTGGGGCTGAGCCCAGAAGAAGCAAACAATGCAGGGCCTTCCAGGGACACCCCAAAACAGCCCTCGTGGGAAGGGGAAACCCCACCAACACCGGAAAAGCCCTGGAAAAGCTGCTGGGGGGGAAGAGTGAGCAAGGGGAAGCCCACAGGGCTGGCAGGCTCTGTGTGGTGGCCCTTGGTGTGGTGTCACCCCTGTGTCAGTGAGGAACAAAACAAGCCCAGAGCAGGGACCTGCCCTCAGCCCTGAATGGGCCTAAGAATAGATTTCCTGTTTACCCAGGGAGGAATTGCTCCTGGGGCAGAGGGCACCTGGGGGCTATTTTTACCAGCTCCTGCCCTCCTCCTTCCTGACCCCCAGCACCGTTGGGGGGACCCATGTGTGCCACAGGAAAGGGGCTGTCAGGGAAGAGAGGTGGCCTGGGGGCAGAGGGGGTGACAGGGCACCAGGGCAGGTCACTGCCATGGCTTTGGCATCGTGCCTTACTCAAATATGGGGAGACAGCATCACTTGCTGCCCTGAGTATCCCCAATCTCTCAGTGGAAGACCAAATTTACAGGAGGTATCATGGTGCCCCCACTCTGCTTTCCTAGAAAAAAAACCAACCAAACAAAAAACCCAAACAAACAAACAAAACCAAACAAACCCCCCCAAAACAAAACAAAGGAAAAAAAAAAGGAGATTTTTGCACCCAAGAAATGCAGAGAACACACTGATGAATTTGAATTTGCTCTCCCCATCCTTTCTCAGTCCCCTGCAGTGATGGTCAAGCGGAGCAGTTTGGCCTCTCCCCTCCCCCGGCAGAAAGTGAAACCCGGAGCAGAAGTCACAGTTTCCTATTCTCGAGAATGGGGAAGGCTCGGAGGCCACTTACGGGAATCCCCCCCGCGGCCCCCCCAGCGCCTCTTCTCGTAAGCACTGACCAAAATACACTGTGAAAGCCACACAGGCTGTGCTGGGGGCCGGGACACCCATCACTGGCAGCACCCGGGCAGGGGGAACAGGCGCCTGCGCAGCTCCTGCTCTGCTCGTTGTCCCACGCTCATCCCAAACCCCATCCATGCTGTGGGAAGGGGGATTGAAAGATGTTCAAGGGCATGAGCGAGCAGGGAGGTGGCCATCAGAGACAGGGACAAGGGGGGTGCATTGTGGACCCCCCTGCAGGGCTCTGTAGGGTTCAGTCACTCACTGCTCCCCCGGGAAGGGGCTCAACAGGGCCTAGAGCTGGTGCCCCCCAGGTGTGGGGTGGGATCAGAACCATATGGGCCTGTAGGATCCCACACTCCCAGCCTTCAGGACTGCTCTAGGAGCTGCTCTGTGGGGTGGGGGCTCTTGATCTATAGGGACAGGCCCTATATGGGGTTCTCTACATGGTAGGCATCCCTTTTCTATAGGGACTGCTCCACTGGGCATATTCTCTTGCTCCTTAATTGCAATTCCCTCTGCACGCTGCTCTATGGGATGGGGTTTTATGGTCTTTAGGGGTCTGCATTTCTGGGGCAGCAGCTCTTGCCCTACAACACCTGGATTTGTGTTGTACAGGATCTGGGCTCCATAGGGGCCAGCCCCCCATGACAGGAGCTCTTGCTCTGGAGATGTTGGGCTCCACAAGTGTGTCCCCTGTGCCCTGACCTGTAGGGGCTGTGACCTACAGGGTCCCTGCTCCAGGCTGTGCAGCCCCTGGGGCCATGAGGCAGCACATCCCTCACTGTGGGATGTGGAGCAGCACATCCCTCAGTGTAAGATTTTGGGCAACACAGACTTGCTGTGGGATTTTGGGCAGTACATCCCTCTCTGTGGGATTTTGGGCATTACATCCCTCTCTGTGGGATTTTGGGAAGCACAGCCCTTGCTGGGGGATGTGGGGCAGCACATCTCTTGCCACGAGACTGTAGGGCAGGATGGCCCCCACTATGGGATTTTGGGCAACATGGACCTCACTGTGGGGCCATGGGGTGGCACATCCCTTGCCATGGGATTTTGGGCACCACAGCCCTCGCTGTGGGGCCATGAGGCAGCACATCCCTTACCTGGGACCACAGGGCAGCACAGCCCTCGCTGTGGGACCACAGGGCAGCACAGCTCTTGCCGTGGGACCACAGGGCAGCACAGCTCTCGCCGCAGCGCCGCGGCACCGGAGCTGCAGCAGCTCGTCCTCTCCCCACCGCGCAGCCTCTGCAGACCCACCGGGGCTTCCGCTGCTCCCGCCGAGCGCTTTAAATAATGAATATACCGAGGTCGGAGACAGACACAACACAGCCCTGCCCCGCAGCTTCACCCCCCCGGCCCCACCGTGCCCGGGGCTGCGGGGGCACGTGGGACTCCCGTGTCCCCTGAGGGTGGGGACACCCCCTGGGTGGGGGGATTTAAGGATGGGAGATGATGCTAAATGATGCAAAATGTCTGTGATCCCACCCAAAAAAACCCCGCAGCCAGGATTGTGTAACCTCAGGACTGGGGTACGCCCATCCTGCTCTGCACCCCCTTTTAGGAGCAATTCTCCCCCCATGGACCAATTCCAAGCAGGAGGGGGACCCCAGGATCCCCCCCCCCCAGCCGCACCCCATTTTTGCATTGCACCGGCAGGACCTCGCTGTCGGGGTGTCCCCACTCTTTGGGGGAGCTTGGGGGGGGGAGGGCAACTTCCACCTCCTTTTGGGGAGCCCCCGCAGCTGCCGGCGAGGGGCGGTTCGTGCAGTTGAGGAGCAGGTCGTGCATCCCGGCGTCTGGAGAGGCGGGAGGTGTTTCCCGGTGGCGCAGGAATTTGCTGTTTGCGCCTGTGTTGCAGGAGGTTGGGGGAAGGAAGCGGGGGGCGGAGGTGGGGAGGGGAAGCTGGCAGTTGTTATTATTTAATTTTATTTTCCTGCCTCCATCCAGGAATCTCTGCAATGTGCCGGCTGCTCGCGGGGAGGTTGGGGTGGCCGTGAGTCACTGCTGCCGCTGGAACGTGACTCAGTCCTGCTGCTCTCCCGGCAGGACATGACCAGACTGCCAAAACCCGGGAGAAGCCCCAGATCCGACGCCTGCCCGCGCCGGTGGGCGAGGACACGCGAAATCCCCCCCGAGAGCTCAGCCCCCTGCTTCCCACAGGGATGGGAGCCCCTCACCGTGGGGCAGAGCTCAAGCTCCTTTTTTTTATTTTTTTATTTATGGGCTCCTTTTTTTTATTTTTTATTTTTTTTTTTAATTTTTATTTTTATTTTATTCTATTTTTCCCCAGCCAGGAAAATCCTCTCCACCCACTCTGGCTCACCCATCCGTGGGGCACTGTGGATCCGTGGAGATCTCCCAGGGGTTTTTCTTCCCCATCTTCCAGGTCCTACTGGTGAACAGGGAAAGCTCCTGGCACCGTTCCTGCCCCAGTTCCCGTGCCTCAGTTTTCCCAACCGGTGGGGAGAGGAGATTTTCCCATCAGGGAGTGGAACAGGGGTTACTTCAGGTGGTGCTTTGAGGTCAGTGAATAGCAGCTGCGGGGGGTTATTATTAATATTAATTAATAGCTCAGGTGGTGGGGAGGGATGGGGGGGACTGAAGCAGCCCTGAGTCACAGGGCAGGAGCAGGGGGTGGCCCAGCCCCATCCTGAGCCCCAACACTCGCTGCACCCCAGGGCTGGGACAGCCAGGGGCTGCCTCACTCATCTCACCTGGGGCTGGATGAGCAGGGGCATGAGCCCTTCTCATCCTCATGCTCCTGCTCCATGTGGAAATGGGCTCCTGGAGCAGGAGAGCAGGAGAGGCGGCCACGGGGCAGTGCTGAGCACTGGGATGGTTGTGACACCTCAGGCCTCCACGGCCACAGCTGCCTCTGTCAGCCGTGATTGAAAGCCAAGCCAGGCTGGCAGGCCCTCTCTGTGATCTTGTTAATTAAGAAATACATTTAATTAGCAGCACCCCAGCTGTGACTCAGCTAATCATCATGATCGAAACAAGAGCTGGACTCCAGTGCTGGAGCAGGGAACCACCAAACCCCCTCACCTGCC